TCGTGCTTGTGACCCTTTTCACTCCCAGCACTCCAATGTGGAGTACGAGATCTAGCAGTGACCTTGGTCGCTATAAGAACAAGTCTAAGCAAGGGCCTGTCTGCATCCCATTCCTTGGTACTGACTGTAAACGTCAGGTCTTGTCACTGCTGGGAGCAGTCACTGTCTGGAAAAATGTGCTGCTGTTTCAGAAAGTGCCATTAGTTAGAGGAGACTGAACTGAAACGTTAAAGCACTAAACCAGAATTAGTTCTGGTTTAGCCCAAACCGGGACAGCGCGTTAATCGTGTATAAACCTGCTTACCTGAGTTGAAAAGCCCAGGCCTAAGAGCTTGGTCTAGGAAATGGTGTGCTGGGGTTCTGCTCCCAGTGAAGCCCAAGATCAGCGCTTTCCATCGTGGCAGGATCAAGTCACAGTGGTGGGAACCACTGGAAACAGCCTGGTCACAGTGGGCATGTTTATCTCCCTCCTTGGACAGCACAGCTTGGCTTGTGCTTCACTGTCATCCCAGCCGTGTCTGGAGCGTGGGAGAGGTGCCCTCGCTAAGCTGGCAGCGGGTGCAGACAATGCCGTGCTTGGGGCAACCCCACCTAACACCATCCCTGCAGTGTGCCCTGTCACTCGAGACAGTGTCTCAGAGACAGGAGGCCCTTGGGAAATACTGTGCAAAATAGTCTCCCTTCTTATCCCTAAGCCCTTAACATGGAGTGACTCAGCCTTTGCTTCATCCTGGCAAGCAGCTTATCTCTTGGCTCCTGAACGCTTTCGTTCTGCTCCTCCATCCGGCCTCGCTCATCGCTCCCCAGTCTGAGCAAACTGAGCCCCCTGCCTGCGAGCACTCGCTTTATTTCTCAGCTATTCCCTAAATCTGCAGTTTGTCAATAAGCCAAATGCTCCGAGAGTGGTTATTTCTCTGGCCCCTGCTGCTGCCGCGCGTTTCCCAGCAGCCTGAGTTTCTATTGCGATTTCCGCAGGGTTTATTCAGAGAGGCGTAGGTATTAGTTGATTAAGAAATGCAGTTAAGCCCTCAACAACCCAACTTTCTGGGATTGCCAGCAGCGATGTATTTTTAAGTAGTGCTTAGGGTTTTTTTCACGCAGCTTGGGTTTGCAGGAAGGTCTTTCAGACCTTTATTGCTCGGGGCTGTATTCATTGCTTTCTGCTTCTTGAAGACTAGGTTTGCCTGGTACGTGTGTAAACCGACCAGCTCACACAGCAGCATGTCAGGTCTAGAGGGAGAGGGAATATCTCTTACTCCATCTGATGGTATCAGGGTGGGGAGAGCAGCTTCTCAGCTTACCAGCCCGTCGGGATAGTGTTAAAGGGAAATGTAAATGCCTTGATGTGGAGCTGCCCCTCCTGTTGTGAACTCCAGTGAGGTGCTGGCAGGTATATTTGTTGTTCAGGAACTCATGGAGAGGGAGTGCTGCCATTACCAGTCTATTTTGACCCTGATCTGTGATTGCATGCAGTTTGTGGCATTTCTGCTACTTGTATTTTTCCCAAAGTTGGGGAATTTTTGAAAGATATGGCCACGGTGTGGTGAAGAAGTCACAGTAGAAAGGAAATCCTGAATGTCGTTAGACAAATGGGGAAAAAAGAGAAGGACTTTGTAAAAATTCAATATTTTTCTGGTTCTAATAAAACCCAGTGAAATGTTCTATAAAGTAATCATTCTGTGTCCAGAGTGATGTTTTCAGGTGAAAAGAAAGTTAAACTGCCCTTGATCTTGACAGGCAAACGCTGAGTTAGGTGGGTGCAATGCCCGCTCTCCTCTCCAGCCTGAAGTTTGAAGGTCTCTTTATGGTTGCTTTAGAGTGCTTCAATCCTAAAATTGTTTCTAGCGTGTTGTGCACTTTAGAGCAGGGGAGGGACCGGCCCAGAGAACGCCAGTTTTGTGCAGCCCTGCCAAGGACGCTGATGCAGGTAGTTAATGTCTTGCAGTTCTCGCTCTCCGGCTTTCCACGGCGCGGCTGTTTCGGGAGCGCGGGGAGCGGAGGGCAGCGGCGCCGTGCTGAGAACCTCCCCGCGTCGGTAGCGCCTTGGTGGGTTTCCCCCAGCTTTAGCTTGCCGATCCATGAAACACGTGTAGCTGAAGAGGCGTTCGTGCAGTTGCCAGCCAGCTGTGATACTGGTGTAGAAAAGCAGGAGAGTTTTGTCATCTACTTCTTAAAGTACAAAATTTTGCATTGTGTTGTCCTTAGATTTATGTCCTGCTGATGATTTCTGTTTTGCTGCCGCACCACCACTAAGATAGAAAATAGGTTTTCAATACCAACCTCTCTTAAGGCTGGGCTGAATTCCCTGCGTGATGCTGTGTCCTCTAGAAAGACAGGTTAATTAGTGACTTGAAGCTGGAAATGAATTTTCCATCCAGGTGAATGTGCAAGCTTTTGAGTTGACTGCGACAAAGAGTTTTAAATATAAAAGCCATTTACAAACAGTCTTTTTCGGGTTGTTTCTATCAGTGTGAAACACATTTTGGCGTTTCTCATTTGTTTTTATTCCTGCTGTCTGCTTTTCTCTAGAATTGACTTAAAACTTGGGACAAAAGCAAAAAGAAAAAAACCTGGTGTTATTAATTTAGAAAATGTTGTGCTGCAAGTGAACAAAGGCCATTTTAAATTGAGACTCCTCATGGGAGCTAAACACAGGCTTGCTCATTCTAAATTCTCACCTGAACCTTTCATATATCATCAAGCCCTCTCAGTAGGAGAGGTTGGAGGAAGGCAGATGGGAAGCTGGCTAATAGCTTTGGTCTGCCTTGCAAAATCAGCCCTGCAACCAGCGTTTGGTGGGGAAAACAGCTGTCCAGGTGCTGCGAGGTACTTCAGCCTGTCAGAGGATTGTGGAAAATATTAAACATCTGTTGCAGTATGTGCTGGCTGTTCTGGGCAGGATAGATAGAAAAACCTGTCCTAGCATTATTAATTAGAGATAATAAGGCACATGGCTGCATGGAGGAGTCCTGAGTGCCTTCTGTGCCTCGGACAGGCAGGGTGCCTGGGTGGGGTGTCCTGCGAAGCTGCCGTCTGCGCAGAGCAGTGACTGCTGCAGGGGGGATGGCTGGGCTGGTGGAGGTGGGCGAGGACCAGCCTGGGCTGTGTCAGGGTCTTGCCCCACTGCAGCCTGTGCCTCTGTGTTGTTTGTCTCGTTGCTTGTTCTCTGTACCCTCTCCCAAGGGGAGAGTGCCCGGGGTGGCCCCTCACAGTCACCACTGCCTGAGAGACGGGCAGGGAAACGGAGCTGGGCAGTTTTCCAGTTGGGATGGATGTGGGTAGTTGCTGTGTGATCATGTTTACCCAGGGCACAGGCAGGCAGAGGGGAAATGCACAGCCAGTGCTGACCAGTACCGCTCCATCAGTGGTGCTTTGGGGATTTCTCATGGCCAAGTATCTACCCCAGAGATGGCCCTGTAAAAGTAGAGAGCTGAAAACTGCTGCAGGTCAACTTTCCCTCTGCTTTATGGTTGTAATCATCCCAGGCCACGTGTGCTGCCCCTCACGTAGGTGAACCTTCTCAGTCCTCCAGAGCTGACATTTCCTTCTTGTATTCCCCACTGCCTCCCCCGTGCCACTGGAGCTGCCCTGTCTGGCCAAGGGACACGGCGGGGGTGCAGCTCTCCTGTGTTCCAGCTGGCCGTGCATCCTACCTCTCCCTTCCCCTGTGCGATCTCCTCCTTGTGTTTCTGAGGCTGGCAGAACAGGAACAGAAGGGTCCCTTTGGTGCTGCTTTGTCACCCTGTGTTCTGTGGCACCTGGGGCTGGTGGCAGGGGAGGTGCAGTGGCCCCGAGCAGCCTGGCCTTCAGCCAAAGAGCATAACAGCGGCTCCGTCTGGACCCCGAGGGTGTTTGCCATGAACTCAGGTGAAACCTGTAGCTTCCTTTTTTAGCTGATGTTTTTAGTTGCTAATACTGGAGGCTGGGTTTCTGTGGGACAGACGGGAGGAGAAGGGCAGTGTTCAGCAGAGCTCTGGCACTCCCTTGTCTGGCTAACACCTTAGCTGGACTCCAGCCTCAGAACGGTCTCTCGGCCCTTGCTGAAGCTGTGTCTCTTCCTGAGGACCAGACCCCTCCTGAAACAACACTTGCTCCACTTGCGGCATTAACCTCCTCCTGTGCCAGTGCTTTACTTCTGGCTTTGTCACCTGGGTCCTGGATGTGATCCCATTGTCTTTCTTCTTCCAAGTTTTCCTTTGGAAGAGCCAGACTTCCATACCTTCTCCATGTGGTCAGCCCTCTCACTCCACTTGAGCCTCTAAATTATTGGAAAACAGGAAAAGACAAACCAAACCCAAATCATGGATGTTGCGTGCTCTCCACACTTCACTGGAAAATGCTCTCCTTGGTAGAGTCACCCTGTCTGTCCCCCTGTGTCTGTGGTTAGCTGTGCTGCTCTCTGGGCATTGCCCACCCTGCAGGCCTCGTACTTCTAAAGCATCCTTCTGAGTCACAGCCAGCCCTGACCACTTGTCCGGGCATGGGGAGACGGAAAAGCCTCGGGAGCCAGAGGAGCAGCTAAACCTGCTCGCCTCCCTCCTCTGCATTGCTAGGGGAGCCAGCCGCAGCTGGGAGGGGATGTCGTCTGGGGCTGAGGTGGTCTGGAGGCCTCTACAGAAGGGGCTCTGTGCCAGAGCGTGCGCTGCTCACTAGGGAACTGGTGGGAGAGCTGGTGGCAGCAGGGGGGACGTGGCTGTTGTCAGAAGCGTGGAGCCGACGCTGCTTTCGTGCAGTGCTCAGACCCCACGGAAATGACTGTTCCTGTTCCTCTGCAGGTGAATCTGGTCCTGAATGAAGGGAAATCCCTGGGCCTCATGATCCGAGGAGGTGCAGAATATTCCCTGGGCATCTACATCACTGGTGTAGATAAAGGCTCCGAAGCAGAGAGTACTGGCTTAAAGGTAAGAGTGACCCTGGAGTGGGCTGGGGCAGGAGGTAGAGCGTCACGCGCTGTGGCTGCAGGGCCGTGTTGGCACGTGACTGCTGCTGTTCCTACCCCTCTGCCCCCGGCCAAGCGGGGCTCTCAACAGAGGGATGAGCGTTGGCTCACCTTTTCAGGGCAAGTTCTTTGGATGTTTTGGATACTAAGCCTAGAGGGAGCAAGGTGGTTGTGCAGAGAGAAATGAGAGAAATGCAGCCTTACAACTTCTGGAGTCGGTTGTATTTGTATTCTTCCTTAGCACACCCCCATACCTGATTTCTCCCCTTGGAAGTAACCTGGGGATGTTTTTGATGCAGACATCTAAGAGTGCAGCCCAGACCTGGCAAGTGGAGAAAGTCAGTTATCTCCCACAACTGGTAGGGAAGAGTTTTCTATTAAAGATCCTCGTCCTGTGCCCTCTACCTGCATCTTGCATCCAAACCCATTACGTTTGGAGCTAGTGTTTTGCACAAGATGCTCTTAGCCTGCCTGCGGGGAATGTGTTTAGCCACCATGATGCGAGGAGGCCAGGCTTGCTGCGGTGGGAGCAGATGGGTGCTAGTTTCCTCCTGCTGCATTGGTGTTCACAAGTACCGTGTCTTAACAAGCAGAAACAGCGGGATCAGCCTCGGGGTTAGAGCAGAGCTGATCTATCAGCAACCTAACTTGGTGTGACCTCCAGCTACATCAGGCTCCCTCCATGGTCAAAGGATGCTTTGAACCCTCCAGGTTCCTAAAGGATTCTCTGTGGTTTGGCTGGGCCCTTCTGAGGCTTCAGTGATCCAGAGTTGGCTACAGTTGTGCTGCAGACCTCTTGTAAAGGGAGATCCTACATCTCTTTCATCCCACCATGTACACATGCACACACACCATCTCCAAGCTCCTCCAGCCTTCCCGCTGTACCAGGTCTCAGAACATGGTGGGACACCCTGGGACCTCTGCTGTTCCTGGAAGGGGCATTTGGGGTTAAAATTTTGTATGTTTTAGGGTGTTCACTAGTAAAATCAGTTGAAAAGAGAGCCATTGGGCTTCAGGTGTATGAATGGGGCGTGTTTGAAACTCAGACTCCTCAGGCTGTAGCATTTTACTTCATCACTCAGGGTTTCTTTTCTGGTGTGTTTTTTTCTCTCTAAATGACCCAACTCCGTGCAGTCACATCGTGCCCTTTTTACTTCCTCCAGTGCAATCCCATGAGCTCTGCGAGACAGTTCTTTCCCTGCTCCTTGCGTCAGTCGAGACTCGATGGATGTGAAACTCCCTAACATTCTTTCAGTCCCCTGAAATGCTGCTGGACTGCTGGATTGAGGGGTAATCCACTCTGATCCCCTCTTTGTAGTATGAAGTAATAGATTTCTCCCTTGATCAGCCCTGGAGAGTTTAGGGCAAAGCTTTCAGCTTTGCTCCCGTGGCCCCATAAAGTCACTTAACTCTGTCAAGGCTGGTAGCATGGAGTGGGCAGGCAGTCTGGTGGAGAGGGCTGTGATTTGGGTGGGGACAGATACCAACCTGTCCCTCAAC